CATTGCTGATGCTGTGAAAACAGCAGGAGCCTTTTGTTGTTGAAACAAAGAGTCTTCATTAGGAACCTTTGTATGTTACCCTCACACCATATTATAGTAATGAATCCTACTACTAATTTCTCTCTTTTTCCAAGTATTAAATCTGTCTAGCCCTCTAAATAAAGCACTGCATATTCCAATTGGAGCATGTGTCTTATTGTATATAGTTTCAATGGGTTCCCCAAACCCACACTAATGCTTTTTATTTCCCCAATTCCTTGGTTTTGGTTTAGTTTTTGAACTCTGTTTTTGGCTGATGGGTTCTGAAGAAGTCTAAGCAGAAGCCCTAGTGAAGTTAGTTGACATTGGGTTTCCTCTTGTGAAACGGGTGTGTCCTGAGAAAATCAGTCCAGCTCCTGAATCCTTGGATCCTTCTCCTCAATCTCTGACTGACTTGAACCATATTAGAATAGAAAAATATCATTTCAGGGAAAGTGCTGTTTAAAGCTTTCAAGTCTTAGTGTTGCAGGCAACAGGCTGGTTTTGTTACTTCCATTCCATTATGCTACCTTTAGAGCACCTTTTTTTCCTCTCATTAAATTGTGTTGTCAGTGCCTGGAAACATCTGCTAAAGGAACCTAGTAAGGAGCAAGCAACTTCCTTAGCTGTAGAGTGCCAAGGAGGTGATGTAAAAGTACAAAGCCATCTGTGAATGGGTATTCGATTGCCATTTAGCTTTTCAAAGGCAAATCGGGTAAATGACCAGTAGGCTAATTTTCTTGTAATAGCCTAAGACATAATGGCTGGGTGGGCATAGGGAATCATCCCATCTCTAGATGGAGGTCAAATGCTTAGAGGTTTGGCTAAAATGAAGGTTTATGACACACAAGGACTTCACAGTTGAGCTTGAGCTGCTGGCAATGCCTGGGAGTAGCAGACTGGCAGGGCCAAGGAGAGTTACCTCACCCTCATGGTCAAGGTTGTATTGTGTCTGGCATGATTAGCCTTCCCTGTGGAGTCAGGAAACTGCAGTCATTGGCCCCAGGATTCTGAATGCCCCCATAGTCTCAAGAACCCCAAATCCTGCCCAGGAGCAGGCAAACTGGCAGTGTTGAGTAAGGTGGGTGTGGGGAATCTCAGACCTTGCACCTTGGGAGGCATTGTAGCATCAGCTCTCCACTCCCTGGATGTAGCACCAATCACCACAGTCTCAACCTGCAGTTTCATCCTTTCTCCAGGCAAGTGCACATGCTGAACCTGTAAAACCAGAAACAAACCCCCACCCACGCCAGATTTCTTTTTAAAATTCAAAGTCCTGGCTGTAACAAAATTTAGCTGTGCCGAGAAATATAAAATCTAGACATTCCCTAGAGTTAATTTGTCAGTTGCCAATCAAAGCCTACAGAGTGGCTTTACAACCCTGCCTTTATTCTCAAGACTTCAGAAAATCAAGGTGCTATCAACTGTTCTAGTGACTGACTGAGTCCTCTATTTCTCACCAGGAAAAAGGTCAAAGAACAAAAAAATTAAATAAATAAATAAAAAATGCTTCCTTCATTCAGCATTAATTCCAACAGATGCTCTTGTGGCTGTTTTTCCATATTCTACTTATGGAATTGGGGTAAAAACACATCATGCTTTAATTGTATGAAATGGCACTAAAGCTATTCACTACTGCAAAATTGTGCACTTTAAGCATATACAGAATTAATGGTTAATGTTTTATTAGAAGTTACCTAAACAATTACTGAAGTTACAGAGACTTTCCAACACCATTTCATTCCACTTCAGATAAACATTCTAAAGCAAAAACCCTCTGGAAGAAACTTTAATCACCATTAAACTTGGAAAAAGTAACCTGGAGATCACAGAGCAGTCTCCATACTCACTGGAGGGAAGAGCTCTAGGTTATGTGGATGTGGCTTCCCAATCTGGCATCTCTGAAATTTCCCCAGATACTCAAGAATTCTCAGTAACAGTAAAAAAGGAATCTTATGTTTCATCAATATATCTTAGTTCTGTCTCATTGGGCTTATGAATAGCAAATAACAGCATTTCAAAAGAACTAAGTTCAAATAATTGACATACAGGGGTCCACCACGATACTGTGGCATTAAGTGGCAGGAGAATATTATCTGTACTTTGATTATATCTGAACTGGGATTTATATCGCCACCACATAATGTGTGTATTACTTTTTTATATGCACAAATTGATATATCAAAATCAGCTATATCGTTATATAATTATGGTTCACAAATTCCTTATTAGAATCATATGTTCAGTGTGGTTAACAAAGCAAGCCTGTGGAAGGTGTGTGCATTCAGGAACAGGATTGCGTCCTGATTTGCTTTAAATTGAAAGTAAACAGCTACTAGCCGAATGGAGGTTGAACACATCTGTGCTGATTAACTACTTGTTCTGACCTTTAGTTTGTGGTCCTAAGCAAAGCCTTAAATAGGACAAGGGGGTTGCACTCTCACACTTGCATATACAAAACATCCTTCTTGTGCCCTTCAAAATTGCACACACTCTCATACTTCAATTTACATCCTAATGAAGATTACACAGAAGTACCTGCAATCCCTGCTGTTACTCCCTGTAACTTTCATTCTGCATTTTGGTTTCCATGCCTCTAGTGAGAAAGATGTTAGACCTCAAAATGTACTGTGAAATTCACATCTGCAGAGTTAGCATTTCTGAAACCCGGTTTTGCTATGGCCTCTGCTCAACTTAGAGAGGGCTTTGTTCCACCCAGCCCCTGCTCCAGTTCTCCCTCTTGGTTGTGGAGACACTTATCCTCCTCTTCAGTTAATGAGTTTCACCTAGTCTAGCCGTTTGTATTTTATAAAAGATCTGTGAAGCACCAACTGCAAAAGAAGAAAAAGGCTCTTGCTTTGCATTAATCAGAAAGTGGAATTCTATAGTAAAAACATTTCTTTTAATGCTTCAGGAATCAAACCTTTTTCTAATGTCAGGATGTGCTCAGTTAGTCTCTGGGTGTAGAATGTTAAGCCCTCTGCAGCAATTACCTCAAGCTTGGGGTTTTTACTACTTAAGGGAATGCTAAATGGAAAAAGGTATGGCTACAGTAAATATACTTTCAGAAAATGGTGAATGAAAAAAGATTATTTTCAGTAGAGTTCATTTAATTTAAGGGATTCTTTGTTCTAGGAATAAATTATCTAGGGGGGGAAAACTGTTATAGGATTATTTTCCTTAAGGGTCTCTGGATGCCCACAGACCATAAAGCTATTGTTTTTGTAAGTGTTGGTCTGTAAAATTAAAAAGAAAATATTACAAACTGTGTAGATTTTTAAAACATGTTTTCTAGAGATAATAGTTAAACTGATGAAAACAAAGCACTTTGAATTGAAACACGTCAGTAAAATAGCTTTACCAGCAAGATTAACACTGATTTTTGAAGTCAATCTACTACTCATAATGCAAAAACTCAAGCTGGGAGGTTTTTTTTTGTATGTTTACCACACCATTTTTTTTTTTAAAAACTAGTTTGTCTATTGAGATGCTCTAAAATTAAATCTCACCCTCCAAAAATGCACATTGGTGGTTTGATAAAAGACCATCTCTTTGCTCCATAGCCCCCTCCCTTTTCTTGCAGTGAAAGGAACTAGAGGTTTTTTGTTGTTGTTGTTTGGTTTTTGAGGATTTACTTTATAAAGTACATTTTGGAGAAAGTTCCAGTTTGACTTCTATGTGTCTTCTATACAGTTACTTTGAACTTTCCAGGAAAATGTTCAAACCATGAAAGGAAATTGAATGTTTCAGTCCCAAGTTTGTTCTTCTAAAAACTCAAATTCAGAAGAGGGTTGGGAACTCTGGTGACCATCTGTTTTGATTATTTGAAAGTACATTTTGCCCATTTTTCTTTAACTTCCATTAATTCTGTAAGTTCACACTATTCACTCGGCTTTATTTTTCTTCAAAATGACTATCTTAATTATGAGTGTTGCTATACTCTGTCAAAAGGAAAAATATAAAATCACTACAACACTTAAGAAAAAGAAATGACCTCTTAACTTTTAGAAAAAAGTACTTAAGGTTTTTAAAAGTTATATTTAAATATTCATTTGAAATATTCGAAATATAAATCAGCATATTAAAGAGTAAATACATTTACTTATACAATAGAAATTGGTGCAACTCCTAAATTCTAAACATGATGGAAAAGTATAATTATCTTAATTTCTGCATATCTTGATTATAACTCAATAATCACCTTGTCTTTGACATGTTTTAAAATAGATTGATTGTAATATAGGCAATTTTACTTGCTTGTTTTAGTACTTTGTCGAGGAATTCAAATTCAGGCAAAAATATTTTAAAGAGAATAAATACCATGTTTCTAGAAGGAAATGGTATGTTTATCCGCTAATTTGGAAAGGCCAGATTCTATACAAAAAGTATTTTACAACCCTTCTTTCTTATGATGAACTTAATCTTGGGGTGGGGGTTGTGCTCATCTAGGATAATATACAATTACTTGGTTGCCTAATAATGAACAAGATATTTTAAATCAGCATTTAAATGTAAAAACAGCAACGATCCATATAATTAGGATTCCATTTCTTTTTATTCCATTGCTCTATTTTACCCAAATGGCAGTAATTCCTCGGCAATCATGTTGCTGTGTATATGATCCACTTTGCGCTACAATTCAATTTACTTTCAATCAAGCATTAACGAAATTGCACTTAGGGGAGGGGCTTTGCAAATTAATCTCCCAAAATAAATTCCACTCCAAGGATTCATCGTGAAAGCTGGTTGATTTATAGAGAGAGATACAAACACCAACAAAGTTTCCAACTTCTAAAACTCTGAGAGCTTTGGTTAGGAAAGTGGTGAATGTGGATTCCGCCAGTTCTTCGCATAACTTAGGAACTTCTGAAAAAAGGGAAATCACCACCTCCAAGCGTGGTGCCACATTATTCGGTCCTGGGCCTTCTCCCACCCCCAGCAAAGAGGTTCAAAGCAGCCCGACCCTCTCCGCGACTCATTCGTTCTTATCTCCATGCACTAAAGGCTCAGCTTCTGTACAGTTCCCCCATTCGTTCTTGCAGTTTCTTGGCAGATCCTGCGGGTCGCAGGCTGACCCCCCGGGGCTCATCACCACGTCCTGCCATAGAGCAGGTTGGCGCCGAGCACGCCTCCGCCGTAGTCCCCGGTGGCAGCGTCCAGGGCCGCTAAGCCGCCCCCGGGACCGTGCAGCGCGGGCGGGCTGGGCGACAGCTCCTCCAGCTCCGGCGCGGGAGTCGGGGCCTGCGGCTGCTGGCCTCCCTGGCCAGGCGTCGGGGTGCCCGCGCCGTTCTGGCAGGGCTTGCCGTCCTTCACTAGCACGGGTACTGCCACGCGGCGAGGCGACGGCGGCGGCGGCGGCGGCGGCGGGGGGCCGAGGCCACCCTCCTGTTGCAGCTGCTGCGCCGCCTTGTCCTTGGCCTGTCGCTTCATCTTGTAGCGATGGTTCTGGAACCAGATCTTGACCTGCGTGGGCGTCAGGTGGATCATGCTGGCCAGGTGCTCGCGCTCGGGCGCCGACAGGTACTTCTGCTGCTTGAAGCGCCGCTCCAGCTCGTAGACCTGCGCTTGCGAGAAGAGCACCCGGCGCTTCCTTCGCGGCGCGGCCGCGTGCAGCGGCGCCAGCGACTTGGCGGCGTCCGCGATGCCGCTCAGCGAACCCATGCCGGCCACGTTCACGCCCGCCGACGGCCCCATGAACCTGGAGACTGGGGAGGGGGCCCAAGAAGGACGGCCGGTGAGCCGCGGGCCAGCGAGACCCCTTCCGGCCGCCGTCGCCCCCCTCGCTTTACGGGACGGCGCGGGGCCCCCGGCTGGCTCGCGGGACCCCACGAGCGCCGCGACCCGCGGCCGGCTCCCTTCGCGCGCCCACGGGCCCCGCCACCCCCGCGCGCCCCGCGGGGCTCCCAAGAAACCCCGCGCGTCTCCAGCCGCGCCCCACAACCCCTCACGAGCCCTAGGCCGCGTCCCAGGACCCCCCGCGCGCGCCGGCCCTCGGGCGCCGCTGACGGGAACGCCAGCGCCCTCGCGCCCCAGCCGTGGCGGGAAAAGCCCGCGCCGCCCGCTCGCCCGCAGCCCCGCGCCTCTGGCCCCGCTCACTTGACGAGTAGCGCGGGTCCGTGTTGGCGCCGTACCAGCCGGTGGCCGCGGCGGCCGCGCCGCCCCGCATGCCGTCCGTGTAGGCGGGCAGCTCACCCATGTTGCCCAGGCCGCCGTTGCAGTAGCTGCCCATGGCGCTGTGCGGGAACTGCGAGACGCCGGGCGGCATGTGGTAGGTAGCGGCCGCCGCCGCCGCCGCAGCCGCCGCCGCCGCCGCCGCCGCCGCGTTGTGTCCCGCCATGGCGTGGGCCGGCTGCATGCCCGCCACGGCCGCCGCCTGCGAGGAGGGGCCGGGCGGCGGCGCGCGGTAGGCGGCGGCCCCCAGGGGCGTCCCCAGGCCGGGCGGCGCGCCGTCCATGACGCCGCCGAACTTCTTGTAGGTCTCCTCGATGGGGCTCAGGATGTCAGACACGGAGAAGGGCGTCGTGTGCTTGGGGCTCAACGACATGGCTCGGCGGGCGGCCAGGTAGGGGGGCCCGGGGCGGGCGCGGGCGGGCGGGCGGGACGCGGCGGCCGCTCGTCGCAGCCGCCACCTCGGCCCGGCGGCAGCGCCAGTGCCAGTGGAGAGCTGTCGGCGGCGCGGCGAGCCCCCCGGAGCTGCGGAATCTCGGGTTTATTTTAGTCCAGCGCCAGGTTTACGACAGACTCGGGGGGCGGAGCAACATCCCCAACGAGCAAACAATGGTCATTGACATCTTTTTCTCTCACCCCCCTTCCCCATGTAACGGAGGCAAAAAAGGTAAAGGACCCGTTGGATGTTTCTTGAAAAGATCACTCCCCTTTGCGATCTTCATCCTTCGCACTTCTGCCTGGGCTACCTTCGCCCTCGAGAAATGGAAACTCGGAGGCCAGTGAAAGACCCCACTCCTGTTTCATCCGGGCTGGGAGTTTTCCTAAAGTGACTTTGTAGCAAAGTTCAGTATAACGTCGAGGGAGTGTGTGGCGGGGGCAACCAGCTGTTAAGTTTGGGAGGGGGGATGGTTTATAGGGCTCACCTCCTTTCTAGCTACAAGCCCCTCACTGAATCCATCATCTAAAGTGTTAAAAAAAAAAAAAAAAAAGGCTCTTGGGTCCCACCATAAGAGCGCATAAAGAGAAGAGGTACAATGACCGTCCTCTGCCATTGTAGGGCTCCCTAATTTATGCATCGTTAGATCCTTTAAAGCATCATTTTGTAGGCAACCTAACGGACACTTCCAAATTAGCTCAAAGTATCCAAATCCAAAGAAGAGAGCCAACACACAGAGAGATACTGGCTAACAGAGATGCTGGCTTGTAAGTATGCTGTTCTTACTCTCAGGATGGAAATGGAACAAGAGAAAGTGTATTTGCTAAAAATGTTTCATATTTATTTGCACCTCCATTGCTGCTGTTTTTCCTTTGTTCCCATCCCCAGGAGCTGACTTAGGATTTCTTCTTCTGTCACTACCCTGGAGAGAGAGAGAGAGAGAGAGAGAGAGAGAGAGAGAGAGAGAGAGAGAGAGAGAGAGAGAGAGAGAGAGAGACTCAGAAATTTCAAGTATTTGTACTTGTTTGTAATGGATCTTTTTGGTTGGTTGTGGAAAAAAATAACCTGTTTAAGAAATAAGAAAATGGACATGGATGCAGAAAGCAGGTGAAAATGGCAGCTCTTGAAAAATGCAAACCTGTAAGCTGTTTTTTTTTTTTTAATTGTCATCTCTTGGTTTACAAATGTTCCTGCATGACAAAGAACTTAGCACCTTATGAACTTACACCAAATGCTGAACAAGAGAAAAGACAAAGAAGTGTGTAAGCATGGGTAAAATTTGAAAACATGAGGATGAGAAAGAAACAAAGACACATTTTTAAAGTTTTCCTGGAAGCTGGAATAGAAGGAAGAAACATGTTTCTTAAGCAAGATTTTATTATGTCTAAAAACAAAAGGGTAACCACCAAAGTTTAACCTGGCAGCACATGTCCATGTCTTGAAGATCTGAACAGTTCAGCATTATCTTTTTTCTTGGTTTCAGTCCTGTGGTTTGAATGTTCTAGGAATTTTGTCTTATTATTTTAACAATATGTTCATTTAAGTATACTTTTGTAAAGAATCTGCCCTTTGTAGGGAGAAAAAGACCATATAATCATTCATGGTAAGAAAGTGATAACCAGAAGAGTGGCTAATATTTTAAAACACATAGTGTGGGAAAAAATGCCAGGTTCTACCAGCTGTTTACATCAGTTATTGTTGTCTTAACAAGATTGGTATTGCTACAGTCTGACATGATGCTACTTTTATAGGTCTTTGCTGAACTTGAAACACTTGAGCTTGCACCAGAACTGCCTACTTTTATTTCTTAAACTAATGATATACAAAGAGCTGGGGGTGGGTGGGAAAGAGAGAGAGAATGGTAGGATTCTTTTACAATATGTATTGCTTAGTACTTATTACCTTAAAAACAACAGAAAGTAATCTTAAACTTTAATCAAAGATGAGGTAAGTATAGTTGTAATAATATCTGCATATTAAGGTCTCTTACAAACAATTATATTTTGCTAGTTTAGACACATTTAAAAAATGAAAGCATTGTTATAAACTTCATGTTGATGAGTTGTCCAAGCTGGAAAAAATGGTTATGTTTTTTCAGGTGAATGCTACTCTGTTTCCAAATTATACATTTTAATCTCATGACCTTTTATTTGTAGAACTTCAGTGTGGCAATTTTATAAGTTTCTATACTGTATTTTGTTGCTTAGTTTATCAGTGTACTTACATGTGGAAGTTTCCCATATTTAAATTAAAAACAAAACAAAACAGAGTCTCTGCCAAAATTCACTTTCTGACTGCTTAGGAACATCATTAAGTGAAGTAGAATTCTTTTCCTGGACATGAAAGGTTATGAAAAAATATTTTAATCTTCAACATTTTCTTGTATCAGTTTTTGTGTCTTACCCTAGACATTTCATACCTTTGAAATGTAAGTGCTATTTGTGTGTGTGCAGATGAGTTTGATAATAGAATCTGGAGAATGTATATACATGTATATTTAAATACAAAATAGTTTGGTATTCTGTTGAAGATTTCCATCAAACTGTTTTCTTCCAATTATTTTCTGCACAATTTGTGAGTGGAGATTTATAGCTAGTAGATTGTGAAATATTATTGACAGGGGGATTGTCACAGAAAATGTGTTTCTAAGGAATGTTTTCTTGTTGTTCCCTGACCTCATGTTGATACTCAGCAGAAAGAATGAAATGAAAGAAACGAAGGAAGAAAAGAAAGAAGAAAGGAAGAGACAAACAGAGAAAGGAAAGAAGGAAGGGAAAAAGGAAGGCAGGGACAGAGAGAAAGGAAAAATAGAAGGAAGGAAGAGAGATAAATACTCTCAAAGGGAATACAATAGTGAAAAGAGATGATTCCCCCTCTTCTACTCTCTATTCTCATTTTCCATTTCCTCTCCTCACAACACTTGACATTGTTATTCTGCTGCTGGGATTGGCTCCACATATTGAAGCACAATGCTGCTTTACAACCAGGGGACAGTTTGTATTTGGTTTTTGGTACCTCCACTTTTTTCCAGAGTTCATATTTTTGTAGTTTCACACATCATACAACACAGAACATTTGCTAAGATAGCTTATAGCAGATAAAGAAAAATTTGCAAGACAAAAAGATTCAGTAGGTTCTCCGGACTTTTAAAAAACAATGGCTTTTTATTGAAAATCTCTGATATGTTCATTAACCTTAGAAACAAAAAACCTTGGCAACAAACAAAAGAAACAAACAAACAAAAAGCACTAAAATAAAATCAAGAAAGAGCTTTCCTTGCAATTGGGATTTACTGTTGTCATGAAGCTCAGCCAGAGGGGCCTGGGGAAAAGGGGAGAAACCTTGTGACAAACCCCCTTTGATGTAGAGTTCCAGCCAGAATCAAGAGGGAGATTTTGTCTTTCTATGGAGGCACATAGATTGTCAATGGCTCCTGAATTTCTACATCAAGTTGAACCATTCTTGAAAATATTACTCTTTCTCTCTGCTGGCTAATCAAGAACACAAGTGCTACTTTAGAAATGAAGACAGTTGCTGCATTTGTGGTTAGTTTAAATAGTTGTAAACTAATTTGATTAGTGAAATTCTCATGTTGGAGAAGTAGCTGTAATATTACAATTATAATCTTTTTACTTGGAAAGGAATAAAGAATCATGTCAATAGCATGTTTTGTGCAGTAAAAGTATAAACAAAATGCTAAGAAGACAAAATGAAATTTATTTTAAATTTTTGCTAATTTTAATCAATTTCTGACATCTCAGTCCCATTTTTGTTTTTAGTCTTCCTAAATTCTTCTGGTTTTAAATGATTATTTAAATTATTTTACATTTATTTTGCTATTTTTATTCCTGTATTTATGACTTTCTATGTTTACATAGTACTCCTTTCATATTTTTACAAAATAGAAAATCCTTCTAATTTAGCTACTGTCAAAAAGACCTCTTGACTGATGATTTTCTCTATTCATATATTTTTAGATTGGAAATAGTTTTCTGCTTTCTGACCAATGGTAAGTCTAACCAATAAGTTTGTTTTAAATTTGTACAATAATTAATAGTACAACTATTAGTACAGCATGAGAACAAATGGTAAATATCAGAAATATTATCTTTGGCTAAATCATGATAGTAAATTTAAAATATGATTCCCCCAAAACAAAAACAAATCAAAAACCCCTTCACAAACATGTAATACAAAACAACCCAAAACCAGACAGTGCACTTCTCCTAACTTAACTCACAGCAGAAAATACAATGGTATATGTAATAAGTAAAAGTACACCTTCTATATTGCAATTCTCTTACCTTTGGAATATAAACTTGAACTAGATACTACATTTTTCTGTAGTTTTAAAAATAATGATTTTATTTTATATCTGCTATAGGAAAAATGACAATATTGAAATACAATTTTCACTTCTGAAAACAAGTTTACTTGTATATCTTGCTAACTATAGAAACTTTAAAATGTTATTTTCCTTGAATTGTTTCTTTCACATATTTTAGAATGTCATTAAATGTCTGATAGAAAAAAGAATACTTTGAATTTAAGAGAAAGTAATTATTTTGTACAGAGAGCAAATTTTAAATGTTTTGACTTTATGCATTATTAATAGGAATGTCTCACACACATAGCTTTTTAAAAAATACCTTTATAAATTTTTTTCATATGCAGTCAATTTCTCCAGTCTATGTAGTCAAGTGATTTTAATGCAAATTATGTTAACATGGTCTCACCTTAGCTTTACAAATTAGCTTGCTTGATCAAAGAATGTGTCCTTTTTATATCTGCTGGGTAGTTGGATTATTTGTTGCCATCACTTACTTATAGGAGAGCTCCAAATTTTGATATTTGACAAGTTGATTATTAGGTTATTTCATTGTTATTAAAGTGCATGTACATTTTGGAAGGAATAACGAGCAATATTACAATTAGGGAATAATTTTTCTAGGTTTTGTGTATTGCTAATGTTGAGATGTTATTTAGCAGCTGTTTATGTGTACCAGTCTAAATTTTAGGCTGAGAATTGTGCATATAAGCAATAAGCTAATATATACCTCATAAAACAGTTTGTATAAATTTCAAGCAGTTTAATTATTAGCTCAATAGTTTGCATTAAAAAGCCTGATATAATTACTCTATTCATTGGGAATACCACCAGGAAAACCTGATTGATAAAGTTGTATCATATGATCTCAAAAATAAATAAAATCAAGTTGAATACAGTGACACATTTGTAATCTCAAGTCTCCTTGAGGCACGAGAATTGTGGGTTCAAGACTAGTCTGTGTGTCATAGTGAGAGTGGAAACCAACTTGGGTTACAGGAGGAGACTCTGTC